GCCGATTGCGACCATTCATGAGCGTTTGGAAATAAGGCCCATCCCCCTCCACCTCCTCCTCACTCGGGATCTCTACCTCTCTCCGTCGAATTTCTTCTCGCCCCCCTCCCCCTTCCGGCTGATCAGTGCCCGCGAGGCCGAATTGGGGGCTGAATGGGGGTGGGCCTCCGCGCAGACATACGTATATACGTACCGCATCTGATTCGAGGAAATAGCGACCCACCCCCCTTATTTCCATCCTTCCGCCTCCTCGCCGTTCCAGGTCCTAGCTCTGCAGCGTGCGGCAGCGCCGCGCGTTGCGTGTGGCTACACTGTATCGAGGCATCCATATCGGTGTGAAAACGTGCCGTTCCTCGACACATGGGCGCATGATCGTGCCGCGTTTTTATGCTGAAATAACAAGCGCTATGCTCGCGAGGCGGAAAAGGTCGGAGGCGCATGCAGGGCAGGACGACCTGGAACCCGTTCTGCTTCCACCTATATATATATATATGTATATATATATATATGTGTGTAACATATCATGTAATGGTTTTGTTGGGTACATGTGTTATGTAATGATTTTTTTGGTATGTAATGATTTTCTGGCATGTAATGATATTTGTTCATGCGGGGGCCCACGTAATGAAAACAATCATTACCGCAGGAGGTCTGGGGCAGCGGTCTGGCGCGCGCGCCTCGTGGGCCGCAGAAGAGGCGGGGGCCCCGTCGACCATCGTCGACGGCGGGTCGGCCACCCTCGCCTGCATGGCTCCGACTTCGGGGCCTAGGAGCATGAGCATGGGATGAGGTCATTCGAGGACTCCGGGAAGTACGACCAGGCAGTCCTCCCCAACCTGGCGGGGCTGGGGGTGATTCTCAGGCGCTGCCCGCTGATCGGGCACCACTACAAGGAAAAGGGGGGGGGGCAGCGCCAGCAAGGAGCAGGGCGCGGGGCTTTCGCGAGAGGAAGCATCCGATTTCACGGGCCCCCACCGTCTCGGCGGGAAGGTGATGATCCGCCCAGGGCTGGTGGAGTGGGCGTCTAAGGATATCGAGAAGGGCGCGAGCGCGGCGAAGCAGATGCGGAATGCGCGGGAGCAGGCGCGCCTCTCGCGCAAAGATGGCCGAGCCAGCCTCGAGGCGGAGGGCCGACCCTAACCCGACCGCCCGCCTGCATCGGGTGGGGCACCACCGATGTCGGCGCGATGGTGCGGTTTCTGGACAGCGAGACACCCCGTCGCTTAACGCTGGAGGCTTTGTCGGCCCGTCCAAGGTGGGCGAGTGCGGCGTCTGCCGAAAGGTTGGGCGCTGCGCCGAGGCCCGCTCGCGCGCCGCCCAGCGGTGCGCGGGCGCGGCCTGCGCTCTGAATGGGCTCGGGGAGCACCCGTGCAAGGGCGCGAGGGCTGGCGCCTCCGTCCGCTTCTGGCCTGGCGCGCGACCTCGGCGCGGCGAGCGCGGGGGCCAGCGTCGATCGGCGGGGGGTGGGCCCAGCGGATCTTACCGGCCAGGGGGCTCTCAGTGAGCTCTGGGCGAACCGCTGTTACGAGGGCGGTTCTGCGACCGCGGCGCCGATGGGCATCGGCTTGCGAGGCCTGGGCGGAGTAAACGAGCTTGTCGTTTTGAACCAGGTGCTGCGCGATGGCCACTCTGAGAGGTCCGCGGTTGCGTCAGTGACTTTGTCTTGCCAGAGGATCAGGCGGAGGGGCGTCTCGGTCTCGAGGGGGCCCCGCTCCGACCGCGCGCGGGCCCGCTCTTGCGCCGCCCGCGCGAGTGCGATCGCCTCCTGGTTTTGATGCCGAGCAAAGGAATAATTGAGTGCTCTCTCGGGGTGGTCGAGGCGCGCATGCTGTTCGAGCGTTTGGAAGAATAGCGGGCAGCAGCGCCTCGTGATTTATGCTCGCAGGTCACTCTGCTGGTATAAGGGTCATCCGAAGTCCCGACTAGCTAGCCACCATAGACCCTTTCTTTCGCCTTTTTGTCGCCGCCGATCTCGCCGTCGAGTTTGGCCGGGCGGATGCGCAGGATGTGTTTTGCCAACTGGCGACGCCCGTTGATTTCCCACCCTCCCCTGCACTGGCGCTCAGTCGAGCGGGCAGAGTAGGGGTGTCTGCCGTGGTCGAGGGTTCTGAAACCACTCCTCGCACGCATGGTTGTTCTCATTTTTGCGTTCTCGCGACGGGGCGGGCCCGCGACCTGAACTAGCGGCCGCGCGTGCTCACGGACATCAGCACTCGGGCCCCTGGGCTTGGGCCAGAGGTCCAGGATCCTGGGTCGTGGGCCCCCTCCTGGCCCCTCTCCTGTAGCCCGCGCCGAGTATGCAGTAAACATTGTCGCCTTGTCCCAGGCTCCAGGGGGGTCGCGCGGCGTGGCCGCGAGCGGGGCCGAAGAACTTCGCGCAGCCGGGTTGCGCGCTCGCCCTGTGGGGGCTGGGCCTGGCTGTGAGGCCCTGGGGTGGTTTTGCTTTGGCGAGCGGCCAGTAGTGCGTGCTAAGGGGCGTCGCGCGTGGAGGGTTCGTCTGGCTCTCCAGCATGTTCTTGGGTGTCCTCGATTCTCGGGAGAGGGTCTGGAGGTTCTCGTGGCCCACCGCGCGCGCGTGTTCCTGGTGCGTCGCGAGTTGCTCGCCTGCGTCGATGCGGCGTGCGCTTTCGTGGCTGGGCATCGTCGCGAGCGGGGACCACTCTGGGATGTTGTTCGTCAGGAGCTGCGCTGGGCCTCGCACCTCGTTTGTTTCTGCTGGAAGGGCGTCTCGGCCTCCGTCTGCCCCGCGGCCGCCCCGAGCGACGCGTCGGAGCGGGGGCGCGGGGCCACCGTCTCAGAGGGGAAGGAGGGCGACATTATATTGGCTACGAAGTACTCGGAGAGGCGGAGGTCTCGCGAGGCTTCCGAGGGGGCCCGCAAGCGGGCAGCCGGTCTCGCTGAGGAGGCCCAGTGCGTTCACCATGTCGACGGGCTGCAAGATGGAACTGCTGAACTGGGCGCCGCCGTGGGCGGCGGGGCGGGCCGGGGGCCTCGGCGGGGAGACGGGGCGCCGCTTGTCCTTGAGAGGCTTCTGAAGGCAGCTCGTCTGTGGTCAGCTCTCGTCCCTGGAGACGCCCAGAACGCGGGGCCGTCCTCGAAATTCGTTCGTCACTGCGGGGCCTGCGCCATCAGCTTCGTGACGCTCGGTGGCGGGTGCCGACAGCATGTTCCTGTCCGATTTCACGTCTGCCGCTTCGGCTCTTTCGAAGGGACGGAGCCCGGCGCCCAGCATGCTCGAGGCGGTTGGGCCGCCGCCCTGCTGGCGCCGGGCTGCGCGGCCGCGCGTTCGCCGGGCCCCGAGCGAGCTCAACTCTGCCGAAGCTCCGTCGCGACGGGGCCTCGCCGGCGGCTCGGGCTGGTAGCGGGCGCGAGCCGCCAACGCTGGCGCGGCCCCTGCAGGCGACGCCAGCGGGGGTCCGCGGGCGGGCAGCTGCCGGCACCGGCGCCCCGCCCAGGCGCGAGGCAATGCCGCCGATGGCGCCTTTGCGACGGGGCCAGCGGGGCCGCGCCAAGGCCGCGGCGGCGCGGGCGCCTGCGCGGCACCGATGGGCCGCTGCAGAGGCGCCGGGGCGCATCCGCCGTCTCAACTTCTTGCAGCTGGCGAGCGTCAGGCCGCGCGCCCAGGCGCTGTGCCAGGCGAGCTGGGGCCTCTTCGCGGGCTGGGCGCAGAAGCGGCTGCTCGCGTTCCAGACGGAGGAGGAGCTCTAGACGGCGGCGCTGGACAATTTCGATTTCCAGTTCTTCGAGAGGGCCCACTCGAGTCTGGGGAGCCGAGTGGCCAGCTCCATCTGCTACCTCCGCCCGGAGCTGAGCCGGTAGAGGGGTGCCAGGTTGGCCCGGGTGAGGCAAGCCCTCCGCGGCTGGCGCCTCAGAGCGCCGAGCCAATCGCGTCTTCCAGCCCCGTGGGGGGGTGGTTTGTCAGATCGCCCATCGCCTCGTCCAGAGCGGGTTGTGGGAGATGGCGGCCGCTGTCGCGATGCGCGTGCTCGCCCACCTCGGGGGCGGAAAAGAGGGGGGTGATAACTAGGGGGGGGGGGGGGGAATTTCGTGGCAGGGGCCATGATGCTTCCCCAGATTTCATGGCGCCTGTTCTTGCTTCATTACGTCCCTGGCCCCCCCGCTGGGCCGCGCACGTGCCGCTGGTCATGATTTGCACCCCCCCTTCCGGGACACCCCCCTCTTGGCCGCTCCTGAACCTTCGCCCTGGCGAGCTGGTGGATTCGAGGACCTGCCAGATTTGAGGGCCTGCCAGCCAGCTTGTGCCGCCGCTGCCCGAAGAGCGCCCTTGTCATCGGCGCTGGGCGCTGGTGCTGCATCCGGTGGACCTGGGCTGCCGTCCAAGACCAACCGCTGGGACGATCGCGGGATCCTAGACCTCAGCGAACGCCAGTGTTCGGAGGAGGAGGAGGAAGAGGAGGAGGAGGAGGAGACGGGCGAGGATGAAAGGTGAAGCCGGAGGGTAGAGGAGGGTGGTGGAGAGCGGATGCAAGAGAAGGATTTTGCAGTGACTTCGTGTAGGAGAATGATGTGGTGTCGCCGCACCAGCAAACACAAACCTTCGGGCTGCCGTCATAGCACCGCAGGTTTCTTTGCCCAGTAGGCGTCGTGAGCATGAAGGGTGAATAGGGAGAAAACAGGAAGAAGGAGGACGAGTGAGGAGGCTATGTGACTATGCGCCACGTGGCGATTTGTTTGTTTGTTTGTGCGCGACTGTCTGTAATATCGGATGTGTGAGTTGCCGTGTGCGAGTTGCACTGTATACGTCAGGTGATTAAGCCCATCCGGGAGTTGTCGCTGTGGATCCGGTTTGGCCCTACTATCGGCTTCATCGTCCTGGGTGTGTTCGCTTTCTCTTTTTCGCCGTACGACAGGCTTATTATCCTGCTCCTTCTGATACTCCCCTGTCCTGCTCTCCCCTCCCTGACTCTCTTTTTTCTCTCTCCTTATCTCTCTCTCGCTCTCTCTCTCTCTCTCTCTCTCTTCCTTTTGCTGTATGTCAGGCTTCCGCTCATCAGGAAGCCAGTGGCACCGCTCGTCTTGAAGGGTGGCCTGCTCCCGTTGATGGGCATCATGGTGGCCGGCATGGCAATCCAGGCCGATCCCATCGCGAAGTTATTCGCGCGTGCACCCTTCAGATGGGCGGAGAAGATTTGCCTCATGACCTTTATCTTTCAGAAGCCTGTACACACCACCATGCAGACTGTGACAGGCTACGACGGACTCACCTGGACGTACGTCACGTCCTTAATTGTGATCGCGATTTTGTCTCACGCCTTTCTCGAGCAGCCTTGGCGTGCGTTCCTGAGGGTTCGCGAGAAGTGACATGGAATGGTTGGCGCACGCATCCCGGTGAAGGCCAGAAGGCGCTCATGCGGGATAGCTTGAGTTTGCACTTGCGGTATAGGTTGATCACAGTTTGGCCTTGAGTTTGCCGGTCCGCCGGCCGCGCGCTCGTGATACACCACGCAGAGAGCTGGGCGCGTAGGCTCAGTTGCCAGGCGCAGCAGGTGGTGTCGCAGGGCCGATCTTATTTGTTGCGTCGCTTGAACAGTTCGATGACGCGACGAATATACTCCGCCATCTTCGCCGTATCTTCCCTCTTCCATGCCTCCTCTTTCCCCTACGCATTACCTACTTACCTTTTCTCCCCGTCCCTCCTTCTTCCCTACTCCCTCCTCCTCCCTTCCTTCCTTACCTTCTCCCCTTCTCCCTCTTTCTGAGTAGGATGGAGGAACGAGGGAGAAGGAGGGATGAGCGCGGAGCGAGGATGGACGAGCGATGAGCGAGGCGGGACGAGTAACCCCTTGTGTCTTGTTCCTCCCTCCTACCCCCTCTACTCCCAGCTCGCTCCCACGCGGCCGTTCATCAATTCACTGCTGATATCTTCTGCGCTGAAGCTCTGAACAGAGCACTATGTTCACGACATCAGCTTCCCAGCATACCGTAATATTTGCGACATGAGGTTCCTCGATGGTGACCCTCTGCTGTTGCTGCTGCTAATTGTCTCTTGCTGTTGCTTCTCCTCATCCTCATCCCTCCCCTGACATGTCATTCCTCATCTGTTTCCACTCCGCATTAGCTGCAACATTACGGGCAATGCGCCCAAGTTGCGGACATCGACTCCAGGCACCAATGAGCACAGACCTTCAGTTGGTTCGCAATGCTCACGCCTTTCCGCAGTGCGCGAGGCTTCGCCAGGGCCTCCACAACATGAAAACACATTTCGTCCCTCCCCTCCCCCCTCCGTCTTTATCTTCTCCTCCCCGCTTGCCTTCCCTCCCACTTCCATCCTCGCTGCTCCCGCCCCACTCCTCCCCTGTTCTCCTACCGTTCTCTCCTTCCATCGGACACCCTCTGCCCTACGCCCTCTCCACGCCCCCTCCCTTCCGTGATCCCTTGAAAATGACCCAACACTTATTCAGTCTGAATGCTACCTCTTCTCTCCCCTGGAGATGGCCAGAACGTGCCTCCCCCGCTCCGCGTATTATTTTGTCACAGGAATGCGGAGTAATGGCTTCGCTCATTCCGCTGGTTGCACCTCTGTTGCCATGTGTTGGTGTGCCCATGGCGGGCGAGAAGGAGGATAGGGAATTCGATAGGTGAAGAGGAGGAGGGGGAAGAAGAAACAGCAGACGAAGAACAAAGAGAGGAGATTGAGGAGGAGGAGGAGGAGGAGCAGGAAGCCTCTCGACGGCTTCTTTGGGCACTCTGGGAAACAAACTGGGTCGCTGACAAGACGCCTCTGTGGAAGGCTTCTTGGGATCTCTTGCGAGGTCTCTCGGGGGCCTTTTGGCGGCATCTTTGAGGACCTCAGGGGCTCGGGAGCCCCGTGGGGCATCTTTTGGGGCGTCAGTTACCTTTTGGGAGGCCTCTCGGGGGCCTCTTGGCAGCATTTTTTGGACCTCCTGGGCCCTCGGGGGCCCCGTGGGGCATCCTTTTGAGCTCCTGGTGACCTCTTGAGATCTTCTTTGGGGCCTGCTGGCGGTCTCGGGGGCCAGCTTTCGGGGAACGCTCGATGTGTTTTTTCGGGTTCCCCCTCAAGGGGCCCTCATGGGAGCCTCTGGAGCCCTCTGGGGAGGCCTCTCGGGCTGGCTTAGGGTCTTGTTGGCCGTCTTGGGGCCGTCCTGGGAGCCTCTTGGGCTGACATAGGGTGATCTTGGAGGCCTCTTGGGCTCTCCCGGGCAGTCAAAACTCGAAAAGATGGTAACGCCAAAATCTTGCAAAGAGCCACCGCGAAATCAATAGGTGTTGCATCTTCGAGCCCTCTTGGGGTCCTCTTGGTGTCGTCCTGTGGCGTCTTGGGCGCTTCTTGTTCCGTCTTGAGACCACGCTCTAGACGCTGCGCGTATCCCCACCAGCTCCCGCTTGCTCCCCTTGGCGGGTCGGGGCTCTCCCCTCGCACGTGCATCCCAGCGTTGGATTTTGGCCCGCTGGTAATTATCTCGCTTGGCCTACCAAGCTTGCTACGCCCTCTCTGGCACAGGTGCACTCCGGCGTTGGCTTTGGCCCGCTGGCAATTGTCTTGCGTGCTGCATCATGCTCGATACGACCCTCTCTCTGGAATCGTCCTTGGAGCCGCAAATCAAAAAAAGTATCCCCACCAGCCCATCCTGAAACGACGTCCAGGGAAGTGCGGCAGCAAAGAGGAGGACTGCCGAACCGTGCAAAGGAGTGAGGAGGAGAAGGAGGAGGTGGATGGATGGATGGATGAGGGAGTGGGAAGAAGGAGGATGAATAGGATGAGGATGAGGCGGAGGAGGAGGAGGAGGAGGAGGAGGAGGAGGAGGAGGAGGAGGAGGACGAGGAGGAGGAGGAGGAAGAGAAGAAAAGGAGTAGGAACAGGAAGGAGGAACAGGAGGAGGAGTAGGAGGGCAAACGCAAGGGCCAGAGTTCTCTTGGATGCCTCTGGGAGCCTCTTGGGGTATCTCTTGGGCGAGTCTTGGTGGCCTCTTGGGACGTCTTGAGGGTCTCCTGGCGATCCCGGGGGGCTCTTCGGGCTCTTCGGGGTCTTGGGTGCCTCGGGGGGACTTCTTGGGGCCGCTTAGGGTCTTCTTGGGGGCCTCCTGGGGGCCTCTTGGGGGCCTCTTGAGGCCATCTTGGGGCCATCTTGGGGCCTCTTGGAGCCTCCTGGGCGCTCCTTGGGGCCATCTTGGAGGAGATCGGTCAACGAAAGGGGGGGTCCTCAATTACGCCCCTCCCCTCAGGAGCACCCGAAATCGCCTCCTGGACCCATCGTGGAGCGTTCTTGGAGCGCTCTTGGGCGCTCTAGGGACGGTCTTGGGGCACTTTTGGTCCCTTATTGGGCCCTTGTTGGGCCATCTTGGAGCGATGTTGAGGCCGCGAATGGGCATCGGAAGCGCAAACGCGATAACGCCAAACAAATCAATTTTCCTTATGGTTCTGAAGCATTTTGGTCTGGTCGGGGCGTCATTGGGGAGCTCTTTTGGTCACTTAGACCCGTCTTGGAGCGGTCTTGGAGCGTCTTGGAGCATCTTCGGATCTATATCGATGCACCTCGCGCCATTTTGAGCCATCTTCGACGCTATCTTGGGCTGCTCTGAGGCCCTCATGGAGCCATCTTGGGCCGTCTTGGACGCTCTAACTACCCGCGGCCCCCCCCCGCCCAGGTCCAGGGGAGGGGGCAGGGGGAGGGGTCAACACCCCCTCCCCGCCCGCAAACCGTCCCGCTCACTCCCACCCGCCCTCCCAACACATACGTAGCACCCGAATCTGGCCCGAGCCTCAGCATATTCAGCAGTCGTCTCTGGATGGGCAGCTACTGGGGGCCAATCCGCCGCCGCCGCCGCCGCCGCCTCCGCCGCCGCCGCCGCCGCCGCCGCCGCTGCCCGCCGCCGCCGCCGCCGCCACGCCGGCGCCGCCGCCGCCGCCGCCGCCGCCTGCCGCCGCCGCCGCCGCGCCGCCGCCGCCGCAGCCGCTGCCGCCACTGCCGCCGCCGCCGCCGCCCCCGCTGCCAAACCGCCGCCGCCGCCGCAGCCGCTGCCGCCACCGCCACCGCCGCCGCCGCCGCCACCGCCGCCGCCGCAGCCGCCGCAGCCGCCGCCGCCGCAGCCGCCGCAGCCGCCGCCGCCGCCGCCGCCGCCAAGTGTATTCTGCATTGTTTTTGACAGGGATGATGGGGGGGGCCGCATCGGGTTGGCTGCGCATGTTCCGAATTTGGAGACAGAGTGTGTTTTGTACGGTTTTTTACAAGGAATGGTGGGGGGGTGTTGTCATGGACTCGGGTTGGCCCCCGGTCGCCTGGGGGAGGGGGTGTTTATCAGTAGGGAACAGTGATAAACCCCTCCCCGAAGGGGAAAAGGGGGGGTGGAAGGGGAAACGCCCTAAACCACCGACGCCCAGAGGGCTGGTGGGATTAGGCCATATTGGAACGTTCGATGCATGAGGCCATGGGGCCTGCCACCTATTTGGCGCCTCTTTGGGGCGCTCCTACGGCGCCCCAGGGGCCCCCGAGGCCGCGCCCAGGACTTCCGTCATTTCTGACCCGGATTTGCCGGGAGTCTGCCAGGATCTTGTTGCGGTGCTTCTTGAGCTCTTACGAGGGATTATGGGACGTTTTTGGCCCGCTGGGCCGCCAAATTCGATATTCCTTTGTGTTTCCAATTAGAAGGGTCTGGGGTCTCAAAGTGGTGTTCCCGCAGCAGCGTTGGCCGAATCCCACCAGCCCTGTGGGCGTCGGTGGTTTAGGGCGTTTCCTCTTCCACCCCTCCGTCTTCCCCTTCGGGGTGGGGTTTATCACTGTTCCCTATTGATAAACACCCCCTCTCCCCCAGGCGGTTGGGGGCCAACCAGGGTCCATGCCTACCCCCCAAAAAAATCCTTTTGTAAAACACCGTACAAAACACACTCTGCCTCCAAATTCGGAACATGCGCAGCCAATCCGATGCGGCCCCCCCCAACATCCCTGTCAACAAACGGTGCAGAGTACACTTGGCGGCGGCGGCGGCGGCTGCGGCGGCTGCGGCGGCGGTGGCGGCGGCTGCGACTGCGGCGGCGGCGGCGGCGGCGGCGGGGGCGGGGGCGGGGGCGGCGGCGGCGGCGGCGGCGGCGGCGGTGGCGGCAGCGGCAGCGGCTGCGGCAGCGGCGGCGGTTTGGCAGCGGGGGGCGTTGGGCGGCGGCGGCGGCGGCGGTGGCGGCGGCGGCGGCTGAGGCGGCGGCGGCGGCGGCGGCGGTAGCGGTGGCGGCAGCGGCGGCGGCGGCGGTAGCGGTGGCGGCAGCGGGGGGCGGCGGCGGCGGCGGCGGCGGCGGCGGCGGCGGCGGCGGCGGAGTGGCCCCCAGTAGCTGCCCATCCCAAGACGACTGCT